GCCCTGTTGGGCCCCATCTGTGGTGGTCTGATGGCTCCTGGAGGCGCGCCCGAACGGGGACGCGCCGTACGTTCGGGCCTGGTTCTGGTCGAGTGGCGAGTCACCCGTAACCTTAAGCACTACTGGTCCAATTTCTTTTTGTGTTGGACTTGGATAGTCCATTTATCAAGCTAGCTTTATTTAGCAAGTTATAAAACATCACTCTACGATCACTAGACGTCGAGCAGAGCGGGCGAAAGCGCGCCGAAGAAGCTAGTTGAGTATAAACAGAAAATGCCCCATGGTCCTTGATGATAAAAGCAGAGTAGAATAAGTACATGTATTTTTTTATGGGATAAGCCAGTAAACGAGCAAACGGATCACCCGATGGTAAGCAATCGGCGTCGCCCATGGACACCTGGAACACCAGAGGCGTGCGTTTTAAAAGGTGACACTTGGAACACCGTAGGCGTTGCAAGTGCGTTACCGGCCTTTTGGGGATTAGGAATTTGAGTATCTTTAGGGATTTATCAATTGGATAAGGGGGGGGGGGTAGTTGGGCCTCCCGTAACCCCACTCACATGATGAAAAACAACGCAAACGGTTGTGACACGTCGGTCTTCTGCTCGGCCGTGGTATCACTCCGGTCGAGCGGCCCATTCGTACCGAAGCCTGACTCTCGGTTCAACCCGGTAAAATCGGTTCCACCAAACCGATTTTAACACGTTGAACGCTATTGGGGTCACCGGTGACCGGCGTTAGCGGAGGATTTACTGTCAACAGTTTTTATTGGCAGTCAAAGGCTTAATGCGGTTTTCAGGAAGAGTGTTTGTTATACTTAAGAACAGCAGAGGGGGCCGGAGTTGATGTCGGCTTTTTTAAGCGTAGTTTAATTTTGGTCCGGTCCATCATAGCGGGTACAAGCCACCGTAAGCGCGGGCCTGCGGACGGCGAGCATGGGTGGCTCCCCGTCCGACCAGAAACAGACCCGAGCGTACGGCGCGTCGCGTTCCGCGCGCGCCTCAAAGAGCCATCAGACCACCACAGATGGGGCCCAATAGGGCCGATGCCGATTCGGAGTCGCGGAGAACCTAACGGGTAACCGGGGCTCCGGCTCGACGTGCAGGAGAAGGAACGGGGTGGTTTTTAGTCAGTAAGAGTCTGACACTCCCTCCCGCCTCACCCAGGCGGGAGCAGTCATTAGATGATTTTCCCCCCTTAAAAAAAAAAGCGGGTACAAGATACCAATGAAATAAATAATTGTTTCTTGTTCTTCCACCTTTCAGACACATTTGTTATCGTGCTAAACAACAACGCCGTTATAAGTGAAAATGTATACTGGATGAACAAGTACTGGGATAGAAGTTCTGAAGTTGAGCCGGAGCCAGTACTCCCATATATAAAAGCGGACAAACCAAATGGTTCACCAGAGATACTGAATAATAACAAAGAAAGTATAAAACCATTCCCCAATACCAAAAATGAAGAGGTAAATCTATATAGATAAACATGAATTTCCGTTAAAATGAATTTACGGGCAAGGGGTCTCGGGGTCGGGCAAAGTATTACTGGATTTTTAAATATTCTCAGTAGTAGCACGGAGTCTGGAACTGTGCCCGGTATATGGCAATAGGATCACCCCCTATTACATGGCACTCATGATATAAATAGTGAAAAGTGGGTGTTATATTCTTATTTCTTCCTCCTTTCTCTTATGTATGTTGCAGGAACAAGACGCAGAAATGGTTCTCAAACAAATGTTAAGAGCTTTACAGCTATTCTTTGCAAGAAAACCAACCGTCAATAAAATCTCAAACAAATTCCCGTTTGATTCGTTAGGTGGTCCCAACCAAAATATTGCTTGGTCTTATTATGATGATATGGGCAAATAAAAACTGATTATAAACAAGAATTTTTATTTATTTTAATTTTTTATAGGATAAGCCGGTAAACGAGCAGACGGATCACCTGATGGTAAGCAATCGGCATCGTCCATGGACACCCGGAACACCAAGGTTGGGAATTTGAGGTTTGTGGAGGATTCGGGGATTGGGGAAACTGGTAATTAGGCCTCCGGTAACCTCTCTTACACGACGAAATACAACGCAAGCGTTATTTCACGTCGGTTTTCTGCTCGGCCGTGGTATCACTCCGGTCGAGCCGGCCCATTCGTGCCGAAGCATGGCTCTCCCACACTTAAAATCTTATCTTCACAAAATCTTCTTTGTTTCTTTTTCCTGTATCTCCTAAGCAATAAAAATAAGAAGTGCACACTTCTTTTTACGATCCATGTCACGACCTAGTTTTCAATTTAAAATACGTTTAGTACGGACTGTCGTCGAAGGAATGGTCACCCTGGGAGACGCCTTGTCGCACGAAATCGCATCGCAGCAATTCGCATCGTATTTTTTTGCGTTGCGAATTTGCATCGCATCGCAGTTTTGTGTAAAAGCCCTGAATTACATTTACGATTACAGCTTAGCTGACTTCATAGGTGCGGTGACTGGGCAACTGGCTGCTTCGCAACGTGTCGTGGGTTCGATTCCCTTACGAGACGGAGCAACTATTTGTGTGATCCACAGATTTTTGTTCCGGGTCTGGGTGTCATGTGTGCACGTGCCGAAGCATGGCTCTCCCACACTTAAATTAACCAAACATTATTTATGTGATTATACTAAAAATAGCACCCATTAGCTAAATAGCCTCGAGCAGCGTGCGCGGACACGATATCGCTGCGACCGCGCAAGCTGCTCATGACGAAGAGTCCTTCTTTGACTCGAAACTAGTACTTATATTTACTTTTCTCAGTATATTTACGTGACTTATTCGTAAGTTTCAGTTAATTCAGTGTGTCTCACGATAGTTAGGTATTGTAAAAATTAACGTAACTGTTTGTTTTTTATTTTGAAATTATGGCGTAGTTAACACTATCCTACACCCTGAGCACTTTTATTTAAATCATTTTATTTTACTTGCGTTTTGTATGATCTTTCCACATATTTAATAGTCAGTTTATGCTGGTTTTAGTTAACTTGACTTGATTTGTATTCAAAAAGACATTTAATAAATAACATTAAAAAAAATTAAAGTGTCGACATTTTTGTATAAATTCTTAATGTATTACTAGCGCCATCTGTTAGGTGATCCCTTAGAAAGCTCGGGTTTTCTACAAAAGAGAAGTTTGTCATAATCTTTATGCTTGATAGGCAGGTTGAAGATAATGGCAATAGAATAAAACACAACAAATTACGAAACAATATTTTTATTTAGAAAACCATAAAATGTAACATTCATGTTGTTTAAACTCTAAATGCTCACAGCAACAAACTTTAGCCTTATAATTACATCTAGATAAATACAAATAAATAATAATAACGAAAATTCACATTATACGGTGCAACTTTTAGATATAGCTATTAACATATACAAATATTATTTCAAACTACACTTTGAGCAAAGAAACCGAGCCACTACCGTATTATCTTTTTAATTTTACGATACAAGTATTTTATTAATTGGTAACATATGTCGTATAAAAGGTAATTTAGTTACCTTTTAAAATGAAAGCATTTTGTTGTTAGAGGTATATTCTTATTGAAGTTATGAGTTCAAAGTAATGAAAAAAAATATTGCTAACGGCTTCGTTTCATTGCTTCCAAGAGTAACTTTTCCCCGCGAGTTCAAAGGAAAAAAGGAAACAATATTATACTCTCCAGTATTCTAACTATCTCCAGACATTAAAATTATATCATAAAAATGCTCCGTTGCGACATGCAAGACATACAAACAAAAACACTCACATTTATAATACTAAGTATAATTGTGGATTCATTTGAATGTATGTTTGTTAAACTTTCACATTACCGAACGGATTTAAATGAAATTTGACACAGAGATAGATGATAGTATGGATTAATAGGTTTTATTTTATCCCCCGACAATACTCCCAAGTATTTAGTTATATCAAAGTCGCACTGCATAAAAATCTGTAATAGGGTATTTTCCAGCGTTTTATTTGCGAAATTGTGAATGATAATCGCTATTTTACATTAAATAGCATACTTAAACTCATTTAAGAAATTGCTAGTAATATCAAAATGAACTATAATGTAGTCAAACCAAGCAATGAAAGCTTTTCTTCGATATTTAATTGTATTTATTATGGAAAATACCCAATTTAAAGAATGACACTTCTATTTAATGAAATTATAAAATAGCAGCTTCGAAAATTAACTGCCTCTAAAATAACCGTTGCTAATCCGTCGCAAAAATACAATAAAACAGTTATTTGGCTACAACTTTGGCAAAAATAGCGCTTCTAATTAACTTCAACCATACATAATTGACGATTTGATACGTTAAATTACTTTCGTGATAATTTTCTTAATTAAAAAGATTAGGAAATAATTGATTGAATCTAGACACACGTACAAAACATAACGTCACACTTTTGACGTCGATACAACGGTTTCTCTAAATAATTAAATGCTTTAATAATTAAAAACGCTAAAAATTACTCTTAAAGTATAAAAAATATTTATTTAAACTGTAACTAACCAAAACGAAATCAAAATACTAATTAAAAAAGGGAGTAAGTAATCAAAACCTTGATTTCAAATTATTTATCTTCAAAAAAAATAGGAATTTTTTAATAGCAATAAATATAAAAAATGGTTCTGTCATTGAATTTAAATGTGGTACTAAAGCCGTTTCCTCCAACCAACCTCTCTAAAATTTCAAGGAATCCTAGGTGACACTTAAAGAGTTTTGGTTTCCAACAACTTAAAAGGTGGTTATTTCCTAAACACGCTAAGTAACTCTTAGTTAAGAGATGTGTAGGGTTGGCGAAAACAGCCCAAGTTTAACTTTGTACAGGGAATGTATCCAGGCTATTACTTAATAGAAAAGCAGACACAAATGTTATAACCGTATAAGCCGGCTAACGAGCAGAACGGATCACCTGATGGTAAGCAATCAGCGCCGCCCACGGAATACTAGAGGAGTTACAACTACGTTGGATCTTATATCATGGCCATAGTGTTGCTGACTTCTCTCGGTTCAGCTTGATATTCCTCTTGTTGTTCTTCTTCTTCGTCGAAGATATCTTCGTCATCAACATTGGCCTCCTAGAAAAAAATTGTAATTGAGAATTGACTGTCAGTAGACAAGTGTTGAAGGCAATTCTTTCGTTAGCGATTCATATATGTAAAGTCTTGAAGGGCAAATATCATGTCAAACGGGCAAATTCATCATATTGAAATAATATAAATGGTGACATTGCGATTCGAGGTGGCCGGGAGGTTTGGGACGCTTCTCATGCATGAGGATGCGGGTTCGAAACCTACCAACGGCAAGTACCAATGTGACTTTTTTCCGAGTTATATGTACTTTCTAAGATCTAGACACCACTGACAAACGGTGAAGGAAAACATCGTAATGAAACCTGGGCTTATAATTTCTTAAAGGTCTTAAACCTCTGAGCCACCACGGCATTTATTTTATTTGAATTATTCTATCTATTAAAAGACCCGTAGTAAACCGTTGGTAGTTTAAAAGATCTAAACAACATAAAACAACACAAAGCGACTGCTCTATACTATGTAGATATGAAAAAAGTAAATAGTACTGATAGTTACCTGGTACTGCTGGTACTCAGAGATAAGATCCGCCATGTTGCTAGCTGCCTCAGTGAACTCCATCTCATCCATACCCTCGCCTGTGTACCAGTGGAGGAAAGCCTGGAAGGAAGGAAACGTAGGTAGATTATTCATCTATGTATGTCGAAAAGTCTATGATCAAAATACATACTTTGGTCTCTCTTAGACAGAAAAATAATAAATTCAGAATTAAATTAATATTTTAGTGCGAACTCCCATACAAAGAATAAAAACTTTTTTGCTGTTTTTATTAGAGTCTTTCGGGCGCAAGTCTAGAGTATTTTAATACTTGATTGCATTCGCCATGTAAAACTAAAAACTGCGTTAAAAAGTTACAATAAAGGATTTCAAAAATGAGTTTTTATCTCGTTACATTTCAATATCCCCTCATCTATCTCCAGCCGCCGTAAGCACGGGCCCGCGGACGCGAGCATGGGTAGCTCGCCGCCCGACCAGGACCAGCCCCGAGCGTACGGCGCCGAACGTTCCGCGCGCGCCTGAAAGAGCCATCAGACCACCACGGATGGGGTCCAATAGGGCTGATACCGACACGGAGCCGCGGAGGGCTTAACGGGTTGCCGGGGCTCCGGCTCGAAGTGCAAGAGTAGGAACGGGGTGGTTTTTAGTCAGTAAAAGTCCTCTGGCCTCACCCGGGAGGGAGAAGTAATAGGATGATTTTAAACCCTCAAAAAAAATCTATCTAAAACGGAGAATGCACTTGTAACTCATCCAGTGTCGTGGGTAGGCACAGTCAGCGCTAATTGCTTACCATCAGGCGATCCGCCTGCTTGTTTACTAAAATCTAATTTGAGATTCTCTATCCCTCTTACCTTTCGTCGGAACATAGCAGTGAATTGCTCAGAGATGCGTTTGAAGATCTCCTGTATAGCAGTACTGTTGCCCATGAACGTGGCAGACATCTTCAGTCCTCGTGGGGGAATGTCACACACAGCGACCTTCAAGTTGTTGGGGATCCATTCTACGAAGTAGCTGTAAAGAAATGACATAATATAATATGAATGAAGGTATACTTGGCGCTTGCTCGATGTGAAATGTTTGTATACAAATCATAAAGGTCGCGTCGGACTTCAGTGTACCGGTGTTTTTATGGTTGTATCTACTGTAGATCCTGGTGCACAAGAGATGCAGAGGTTTCGGGGAGGTTGCGGTGGGCTTGTCCCATACAAAAAAAAACTGAATGTTCGTACTAAATAGCATTGCACTGTACTTCTATAATTTGGTCTTCACCCATAACTGTCAACAAATAAGAGTTTTGACTACGGGCCCTGTCACGCGTTCACTAAAAGCGCGACAGCATCGCTACCAACGTGTATTACTTTTGTATGCACTTCGCGACTGTATCGATGCGGACGCGCGACATGCATCGCTATAAAAAGTAGCCGTGGGCGAGGGCCCTAAGACTGTGCACTTTAGTCTATCACTTCGGGTGTTAAAAGTTAACATTATAATATATTTGCTTCAATTTAAGTGCCTGTTGACAGTCCACTGCTGAACTATGAGCCTCCTCTAACCTCTTATTTGTTGAAACACCGGCTCCCGGTATATAACACATTATGGCCGCAACTTTCAACAGACAAGAGGATAAAAAATAGCGGTTTCCCATAATATACTCATTTGGCATGAGGTTCGAGATTGTAGTCCAAAAAGTTCAGAGTGCCAAGCACAAATAACTATTGCATTCGTAACGTAACAGTATCGAGCGCGTTCTGCGCACTGATTGGCCGGCTCAAGTGAACAAACAAAATTCGTACTTTGCACTCTGGCTTACCAGTGAGTGCTGCTTCGTTTCTGTTAATGATATAGTCTCTTATGCCTTGTTCGCACTATGCTAGTATTTTAATGAAGAAGCGAGTATTTAGTAATTTAATGTCATGGTGGCCCGAAGGTTTAAGACGCTGGCTTCTCATGGTTCGAAACCTACCAACGGCAAGTACCAATGTGACTTTTTCCTAGTTATATGTACTTTCTAAGATTATTTAGACACCAATGACAAACGGTGAAGGAAAACATCGTGAGGAAACCTGGGCTTATAATTTCTAATTACAAGTTTGTAATCGCCAACCCGCATTGAGCAAGCGTGATGATTAATGCTCAAACCTTCTCCGTGTGAGAAGAGGCTTTGCTCAGCAGTAGGCATTTATAGGCTGTTGATGAGTATTTAGTAACTCTTTCTCGCCTTGATTTTAGAAAAGAAGTGAGAGGGATATACTAAATACTCGCTACTTAACTAAAATACTAGCATAGTGCGAACAAGGCATTAAGTGGACTTTCTTAACAACCGCTAAGAGCAGAGCTAGTGACACATGTATTCTATTTTACAGTAACCAAATACTGGCGTTTAAGTGATTATAAGCAAACTTACAATAAAAATATATGTCTTACCTAGAATTCTTGTTCTGTATCGACAATATCTGTTCGTCAACTTCCTTCATGGACATTCTGCCTCTGAATATAGTAGCTACCGTGAGGTATCGACCGTGGCGCGGGTCGGCCGCCGTCATCATGTTCGAGGAGTTGAACATCTGGAGGGAATATACGAGTTTAACGACATCTAGTGGTTAGAGACAGTGACTAAATGGGGTGTTAACGCCATCTAGCGAATAGGGCATTCAGTAATGCGTATCACAATATTAAGTTTAGTTTTGTATTTGTTTAATTAATAATTAATGTTTGGATGGAAAAGGATAAATGTAGATGCTATGCTCATCTATGCTTACCTGACTCATCAGTTCAGGAACAGTCTGTGCACGGAAGTTGAACGAATTCCTAGCTGTGAGAGGAGCAAAACCTGCAATGCAAAAGTTTATAAATAAATAAAAATATTCATAACATACACTTGTATCGATCGAACCAACGAAACTATGTAACTAGAGAATTGTATTTTGAACCTGATTGAAAAAGAGTAACCTATGGAGTTTCTTGCTCGTTCTTCTCCACAGGAATCTATACCTTAGAATGAGTTTCGCTTTTAAATTTTTTGTTGACTATTAATTTGCATAATGTTTGTTTTATTTTTAATTTGCATAACTACATAACATCATAACACTACATCACGCCTTTATATCCCCGAAAGGGTAGGCAGAGGTGCACTTAATGCCACTGTACAATGTAACACCCACTTTTCACTATATATATGTTATGAATCCCATGTAATAGTTCCGTGCTACTACTGAGAATTTTTTTGAAACCCACAAATACTTTGTCCGACCCGGGAATCGAACCCGAGACTCCTTGCCCGGCAATCGCACTTGTGACAACACAGACAGTCTTAGAAAGTACATATTAATAAATATTGTTACATGCGACAAACGTTTTGAACGAACAATTATTTATTCACAAATTCGACGATAAGTCAAAGTATTTATTTCAATTAATTCTTTAGAAACGTCAAATTGAATTCTTAAGAAAGCTAGGTGACCGTTCTAAAGTGTAGTTTTAAATGGACAAGGACGAGCAAGAAACGCCATTAATGGGTATTCTTTTCAAAAAAAAAACATGAAAATTAGCATAATTTTAATAGGTAGGTACTCACCAGGCATGAAGAAATGCAGCCTAGGGAATGGTACCATGTTGACGGCCAGTTTCCTTAAGTCGGCGTTTAATTGTCCGGGGAAACGGAGGCAAGTTGTCACTCCTGACATTGTGAGCTGTAAAGATACATACGAGTTAAAGACTCGCCCCAAAGTTGTACATCGTGAAAAAGCGTGCATAACTACTGACAACTATCACGCTAAATATGGCTGCCATTGTTAAAGATGCACGTTTATTTCGTAGGTATGCCAAGTTCCGATATGGAAATGTTATCCATCTATATTATCATCATTTACATTTTAATTCAAATATATATCATCATCATGTTGATCAAAACTGTCATTAAAATTATCATCGATCTCTAACTGCTTGGTGTAAGGAAAGGTCACGATACGTTTTCAATCATTTTGACAACTATTAGTTTAAGGAACCAACTAATAGATGGCGCTTAATACAATTCGAGTGTCGACTAGCATATTTTTATTTACATTGCTTTAAGTTTGCATGGGTTACTTAAATATTATTAAACCGATATTTATTTAGAATTACTATTTGAGTTTGGATTTATTTTGGAACAGATAGATTACATTATAAAATTCAAATTCTGGAAATATCATATAGGTAAGAGGGTAATTTCTTTTCAAATATTTTTTTAAGAGGGGAAAGTCATCGAATGACTTCTCCCGCCTGGTTGAGGCGGGAGGGAGTGTCAGACTCTTACTGACTAAAAACCACCCCGTTCCTACTCCTGCACTTCGAGCCGGAGCCCCGGTAACCCGTTAAGTTCTCCGCGGCGATCTTTTCAAATAATGCAGCTTCAACTTCTATCAAATTTGAATAATAACCAAATGTTAAATACTCACCGAAATCAAATGATTCAAATCCCCGTAGCTAGGGCTGGCAAGTCGTAGAGTTCTGAAGCAGATGTTGTAGAGAGCTTCGTTGTCGATACAGAATGACATGTCTGTGTTTTCTACCAGCTGATGCACTGAGAGCGTCGCGTTGTATGGTTCTAGGACTACCTCGCTTACCTGTGGGAAGAAAGTAATGTGATGTTGAGTCCGTGGCGACTAATGATAGACGATCACGGACATAGACGATCGACGACACAAATCTAACTACACCGCACATGTAAAGTTTAAATACGAATATAAATGGATAGAAACGATTTCTGCCCAACGGACAACTGTTGAGTAAAAAGCCTGCCAGGTCCGATTATCTCGCCAGGTCGGAGGTTACACCTTTTCCGATCATAGGAAACTTTACTCTCTGTTCCCTAAAAGGCTTTTGATTGTAGGAGGTAGGAGGAACAAAGTATGCTTTATAACAGGGATGGCCAACTTGTTTAGACCCAAGATCGATTTTGCCCTGACCTAGTACGATCTACTAATTACATTATTACTTAAAATCTGAAATGAAACAGCATAATTCGTACACAATTATGTAGTACTATTGTTTTATTATGAGGGAAAATATAAAACTATAAATTAGTTTTGGTAATATTATTGCAGTTGGTAATATCATTGTACAATGTGTTCTATGTACGTGTTTACATTTTTTTAATTGCCACGATCGTCTGGATATAAAGTCGCGATCGACTGGTTGGCCACCCATGCTTTATAATATAACAATTATTGTTCACAATTTTTATTGTTAGGTAAAACTCAATACTTGAATACTAAAAAAAATATTCTAAACGGATTCTTATAAGAAAACAGCGTGATGCTCGTCAAAATTCCCACCAGAATAGCACATTACAACACTTTGCGCGGGAAACTTTTCTAATCTGTCACATTTGACAGATGACATCGTCAACATGACAGTTCGTGCTGTCGATAATACAGATTAAACTAGTGAAGTTCATTTAATTGATTTTCGTCGTCTAACAATGTAATTAAATAAATAAAGATTAGTATTGTAGACCCAGGTGTCGAATATTAGACTGTTTGCTCTTTAGGGTGTCTTGACACACATGAGGCATAGCAATTATTACCCAAGTTCGATTCCTAGTTAAACAACTTACCTTAGGGGATGGGACAACACTGAAGGTGTTCATGATCCTATCAGGGAACTCTTCGCGGATCTTACTGAGTAACAGAGTACCCATGCCAGATCCTGTGCCTCCACCCAAGGAGTGGGTCAGCTGGAATCCTGAAATCGTAATTAATGAAATGATGTTTATTTCTGCAAATAGGTTTTACATGTCAATCTTTAAATTACTAGATGAGAGCCGGCATTTCCTAACTGACTACTCTGTAGCTGTAGCCAAATGCCATTTAGCGCGTCTCCACATGTAGAATAGAAAACCAAATTATAAGGAATTGACGTAAATTTTGACACTTGTCAGTGTCATCCCCATACATTTTGATTTCTATTCTCTCGGCAGACAGGCGCCTGTTCTGATGGCAGCCCGCATGTGTCAGTTTCCAATCAGGTCAAGTAACAGAATAAATAATATATTTTAAAAAGTCAGGCGTCCATTAAAATTGATTATAACACATCATACCTCGGAATATTTAGAGTATTATTGAATAACCTATAAAATTAAACATCACAATAGCCAGTACAAACTGGACCTTATTTCTATGTAACCAAAAGTGTATTTAAGTTTAAAAATGAAACTAAACATAATTTTAATGACAACCATATTTTAATAAAAATAACATAACATAACACACCCCTTTTATTCCCGAAGAGGTAGGCAGAGGTGCACATTACGGCACTGAATGCCACTGTACAATGTAACACCCACTTTTCACTCTTTATGTTATGGGGGTGAGCTTATTGCCATATACCGGGCACAATTCAAGACCCCACTACTGAGATTTTTTTAATCCCAGTAATACTTTGCCCAACCCGGGAATCGAACCCAAAACCCCATACCAGACAGTCGCACTTGCGACCACTGCGGTCAACGAGGCAGTTATAATAAAAATTCAATGACATTATAAAACTATAGATACGTTGTCCGCACTCTAAAATGACAACATGAAATGAAGCCAATTGGCCACATCGCGCTTAGTTACGCACCAACCAGTTGCATGACGGGACGTTTATTTTGAATATATATCGTGTGTGTAAATCTGTGCAAAATATCAAGAAAATATGCCTTCGTGTGTTTTCAGACGATGTACAAATTATACCCCAAATGTTAAAGACAAAAATGTGTCATTTCATACGTAAGTTCACAAAACTACTTATTTTTATTTTATTTTTTCGACGCCGCCGCGTAATGGCGGCCGGCGCATGTAGTTAGTAGTCACGTGCCTCTGATAGCTATGTCATTCATGCGCTCGACCAATGACCATGTAATTTGACTATTACTTATCCTATGACGTAACAGAAGATGAATATTTATCTCCCTCTAGCAACATGCATCCCGCCGTACGGTGTCATATTTTCTTTCCCTTTCTTCACGCGTATCTACTATTTTCGCCGTTTTTAAGCGCCGCGATGTTGGTTCATGACGTGTCTATATATAATACGTCATTGTAAAAATTACATTAATTAAACACATCACGAAGCATATTTCAAATTAAATTTTAAAGTCTACATCATAGAGTTATAATTACCTTGTAAACAATCACAGCCTTCAGCTTCTTTGCGAATGACATCCATGACAGCATCGACTAACTCAGCGCCCTCTGTATAATGACCCTTGGCCCAGTTGTTACCTGAGGATAAAATACGCAACTATTAAAAATGTGAATGTAATATTTTTATGGCATAGGTTGACAAACGAGCAGACGGATCACCTGATGGTAAGCAATCGGGGGCGCCCATAGACATCTCCAACACCAGAATAGTTACAAATGTGTTCAAATTCAAATTCATATATTTGCAAGAATACATAAATATGTATTCTCAGAACATCTTCCTTTGTAAAATTACAAAAGAAGATGTTCCGGTGTTTTCATGGTTGTATCTACTGTATAGATCCTGGCTTTCAGGAGTTGCAGTGGTTTAGATAGGTTGTGGCCGGCTTGTCTCATAAAAAAAATGGAAGATCTTATAGCCTAAATGTCATTGTATTCTTCTTGCGAGCAAGCGTGCAAAGTATAAATATTCCAGATTAAAGTCACCATTATTAAAAAAAAAAAAAATAAAAAAAAAATATTTTTATTGACAAAAATTATAAATTCGTTTTCAGGGTTTAACCTATGTTAAGGAACGTAGATATACGCGAGACTCTGTTTATTAATGTGTCTCATATGGCCGGCCGATAAGAGGTTAAGAGAAGGGGAAGGGGAGTATGGGATCTCCCATAGATCTCCCGGCATTCTTTCCCGCCATCAAGCCGTCGCGGTTGAATGGTTTATAATTTTGTGCAGAATTTAAGGATCAAAATTAAGGACATACATAATTGGACTGAAAAACTACTAGGGTATTACTATTATCGTTTCATAAAAATATCATATTTGAATTAAAATAAGAGGTAGGTATAATATTTATCATAAATACTTAATGATAATAATATATTAAATGATTATTGAAATTAATCTACCTACTAGATAAGTTTAAGATAAAATAAAATGCATTAAAACTACTTCATCGAAATCTGTTCTAAAAAGATTAGATTATAGAGGAAGATGCATAAATAAAAATAATTTATTATAATCATCAGAACAATCTAAAACAATATTGTTATTTAGTTAGGCTACTCGACGCTAGATGGCAGAACTTTTATCTTACTTAAGATTTGTTGAGGTTTCCTACATTGTTTACACGTTAATGTTAGAACTTGAGTAGGTTGGACAACATTTTGTTAACATAACACTAACAACCCCAGATACTGTCTTTCTTATAGTCTTATAACATTAATTTTGTAGAAAACAAGTACAGCTACTCATCACTAGATGGCGTTAACTTACCGGCACCGCTCTGGCCAAACACGAAGTTGTCTGGTCTGAACAGCTGACCGTAAGGTCCAGACCTCACGGAGTCCATTGTGCCAGGCTCCAAATCCACCAACACTGCACGAGGCACATATTTGCCTGTAACAAAGAAATTAAAACAAATAAGATAACAAAATTGGTATTTTTAAAAATACGTTTGTCTCTAGGTTTTTTTTTGTTGATTACATTTGAAAACTACGAATACAAATTGTCTCTTTTGTCAAATTGGCTTGTAAAACTACTAAACAAGAGTTTCCAGGCCATGTTAAGCCGTAGTTAGTAGCTCTAGATACTAGCCAGAGTATTTTTTTATGGGATAAGCCGGTAAACGAATAGACGGATCACCTAAAGGCTAGCATTCCGCGTCGTCCACGGACGCTTAAAACACCAGAGGCGTTACAAGTGCCTTACCGGCCTTTTGGGGATTAGGAATTTGAGGATGGTTGAGGATTCGGGGATTGGGGTAATTGGACCGCAACGCAAGCGTTATTTCAAGCCGGCCCATTCGTGCCGAAGCATGGCTCTTCCACTTAGCTCACAATTTGTGTATGGACGGATATAGATGTATTTATTTTCAAAAACCTATTTACTCGTCCCGGTTCTAATCTATCTTTGTAATCTACCGTAATCAGCAATATTATCAAACTTGAACATAGTGAGCATCTAACATGTAATATTTTATTTTGGTCCAATTTTACTAACATCTATTTTTAGATTCTGATGAAACAACAACACAGTCATTATACTGAAGAATCGATAATACGCTAGTACGTGGAAATCACTACTCCAAATGATGTCACACGACTACAATCGGGCATAATCATGCATTATTGTGAATCGTTTGTAGGTGAGTTATTGCACGTAGCTACTGTTAATATTCGACCAGGCACAGCGCAAACGCAATACTCATCGTTTTGAGCCACCTTTAAACTATTCTTTTCAAAACAATGATTTTTTTTAAGGGGTGAAAATCATCCAATGACTGCTCCCGCCTGGGTGAGGCGGGAGGGAGTGTCAGACTCTTACTGACTAAAAACCACACCGTTCAACGATGATATGGGGTATTATATTGGTCATCGCGCTGTCCAATTTAGTTACACACGGCTTGAATCAAGCTAAACTTAATCAGCTTATCATGATCTCGTTTTGTATCATCTTCCCGTATATTCGACGGCCAATTTATACTAGATTACATAGCATGATGCACGGAGCTATATAAAACCATTTATCATTATCTTGTTTTGTATATTGTCACTAACTATTTCCGCGCGGTTTCACACGCTCTGCTCAGCTCCTATTGGTCGTAGCGTAATGTTTTATAGCCTATAGCCATCCTCGATAAATGCGCTATCCAACACAAAAACAAACGTTCAAATCAGAATTGTAGATACGGAGATTAGCGCGTTCAAACAAACAAACAAAAAAAAACTCTTCCGCTTTATACAATAGTATAAGAGTATAAGATATCAGATATAAGGTATAAGATTTAAGACTGTTTGACTTCTGATTTTTGACTTGATTGGATAGATTGAGGAAGGGGAGGGTAATTGGGCCTCCGGTAACCTCACTCACACGACGAAACAGAACGCAAGCGTTGCTTCACGTCGGTTTTCTGTGAGGCCGTGGTATCACTCCGGTCGAGCCGGCCCATTCGTGCCGAAGCATGGCTCTCGCACACTTAGTAATCTTATCGCATCTATGATCATCCCGTATATTCGACGGTCAGTGTATGCTAGTTTCGCTTAGCTTGATGTTTAGCTGGGTACCAATTATATATGAAATAGTTCATGTTGTGTAATGTCAAGGCTATCCATTGTTAGCCGTCACCTCGGAGTTCGGATGAATTATCTTCGCACGGCACAGCGACACATGACCGTGATCCGCGATCAAATTATTTAAATTGGACGCTCAGAGGTTGAATTTTAGCTGAATGTGTCATATGTAATTTTTAAGACTAGTATTATATTTTTAAGGTGTAATATCAGACATTGAGAGACGGGTAGCAGCATCACTGACGTCACTCCTATGTATGACGTTTTAATTTTCTAGAAATGGCGTTTTAGCCCCCACTCCTAAACTTTGATTCGTTTTATCTAAGTATTGTTTTATTATACGACAAAAAAATGCGTTTCTAATATTTTTTCATCACCTGTCTTACGGACTAATTATATTTTTAATTTTCATATCCTGTCATCATCACAATTTGACGACACATAGTTCGTAATTACCTTTGTCTGCTGTGTGTCTTACAAGTTACGGGCTATTTTGAAAGGATTGAGAAGAGTGGAATTCTTTGCCAGAGCCTGTATTTCCTGAAGGGTATACCTGGCATACCTACTCTTCAAGGCCCTAGTGAATAGGTTGCTTATTGGACAACGTGCTCCATCGTAGACCGCATCATCGCTTACCACCAGGCGAGATAGTGGTCAAACATCGACCCATTAAATATAAAAACAAACACTGACAAAGTAACGTGATCTTAGTTAACCTTAGTCAAAAATCTATACGTATAAAAAAAATCGTAGAAAGCTCAAAACTGTACATTGAATATTTTTTTTAAAGAATACTTGGGGCGTGATCTGCAATCGATACCGAAAACAAAAATACAGTTTTCTTATAAAAAAAACCTAATCCTTACTAATATTATAAATCGGAAAGTGAGTGTGTTTGTTTGTTCCGCTTTCACGCCGTAACTACTTTACCGATTGCTTTGAATTTTTGCAGATGTATAGTTAGAAGTCTGGATTAAATAATAGGGTACTTTTTATCCCCGAAAAAATTGATATTCTCGAGAGAAAACGAAATTATTGGTATAGATGGCGCTGTGTGTATTAGTCACATTGGCTATTTTTTATCCTTTTGTGACACGAGCGAAGCCGCGGGTAAAAGCTAGTATTTAAATAAATTCTTACCTGTAGACGCTTCATTGTAGTACACCTTGATGCGTTCGAGCTGTAGGTCGCTCTCGCCCTTGTAGATACCGTTGGGGTCCACTCCATGCTCATCTGATATTATCTCCCAGAACTATATGAAAGAAAAACAACATAAATTAACTTAAGAAGTTATGAATTGCCTGCCTCGTTGGCCGAGTGTTTGCAATTGCGACTGTCGGGCAAGGGGTCTCGGGTTCGATTCCCGGGTCGGGCAAAGTACTACTGGGTTATTAAAAATTCTCAGTAGTAGCACGGAGTCTGGAATTGTGTCTAGTATATGGCAATAGGCTCACCCCCTATTACATGGAACATAACATAATTATTGAAAAGTGGACCAGACCCGGGAATCGAACCCGCGCTTGCGACCACACGGCCAACGAGGCAGTTTTGCAATAAATAGGAAGTGATTTTCTGGAGAAGACAGAAGTCCACGGAAAATGGACCTTTCCTCCAGTTTTGTAGTCATCATCATCAACAGCACAAGATTATTCATTGCGGGGCTACAGACCAACCTACGTTTGCTACCCAATCACGTCAAAGCGGCTGAAGGGATTATGATGGAATTTGGAACAGGGGTAGATTATGGCCTATAATTACACATTGGTTACTTTATATTCCATTAGAACGCGGGCAAAGCCGCTGACAGATGCTAGTTAGCAGAGCAGTAGCTCATACTTTGGAAAATGTCATGTTTTTTTTTATAGGATAACCCGGTAAACGAGCTGACGGATCACCTGATGGTAAGCAATCGGCGCCGCCCATGGACACCTGGAACACCAGAGGCGTTACAAGTGCGTTACCGGCCTTCTGGATTAGGAATTTGAGAATTGTTGGGGATTCAGGGATTGTGAAAAGGGGGGGGGGGGTAATTAGGGCCTCCGGTAACCTCACTCACACGACGAAACACAACACGACGTTGTTTCACGGCGGTCTTCTATAAGGCCGTGAAACAACGACGCACATTTTTTTTATATTAAAGTATGTTTTTTACTGTTTAATTTTGTCTGCGTAACCCGGTAAGCGAAATAAGGATTTAGAATCTAAGAGATATCCAGGTCAAAAGAAGAGACATAGCTATAGTAAAATATTAGGTACATAGATCAAGGTGTCGAATTAAAAACCAAAGTAATGCTTACTCGCCACTTTTAACCTATAATAGTCAAGAAACCATACAAAAACATTTTCAGCATTTTTCATTTTAGTTAATCTACTCGACAACAGATGGCGTTAAACTCAAACCGGCAACAAGACGTAATGCGACAAAAGCAAACACGTTTCTTTTCATGCAATTTTACGATAACTAGGTCATGCGATTCAAATAATTGCCTTGCATTTTTTCTAGCAATTTCTTTTGTGCATGTTTATCGTGATACAAACTAGTGATTATGCACAAATTATCACGAATTATGGAGGTAGATACTAATGAGAACGACCTTGGTATAATTTTACACTATACGCCCCCAAATTCTTAGACAAACAAATTACTGAAAGTTCCGACTAAGATTACTTAAGACACGACAATAATGGCATAAGAAATACAAAACTATTCATTTAAATCGAATTATATTCGTAACCATACTTTTAAAACATTAATTCAATGTCGCTAATTGGATTTTGAACGCCGTACAAATCATTTCTTATCTTTTTCGGTAGAGAGCGCTGTTTTAGCATAAATTTTCGGGAAAAATTAATGAAAATAATAACACTAACCTTGGATCCGATTTGATTTCCACATTGTCCAGCTTGTACGTGAACTATTTCGCGCATTTTGATATGTTTTTGAAACTATTTAATGTAGTTTTTATGAAAAATATGTTCGACACTGCGCGCTGAACAAATATCAAATGATTTTACAACATTATCGCACTATCTTACAACTTCTTCGAAATGTTGATTGCCGACTGAACGGTGTTGCCGCGTAAGAAATTTACACGAATTTAAGGAGATTTTTATTTAGTGACCAGGTGTAATATTGTTTTGGTAAATTATTAAATAAATATAATCGACTATTTCTACTTAATTTTTGTTGCAAATGTTTTTTCTACCACAGTAACGACCAATGTATCTTGTTTTGAAGATGTTTCTTCTGTCATTCTAGAAGTATTGAACTAAATCATGTATGCATGCAGAGGCGTATTAAATTTATAGCTCATCATTTATCATTGAATTTTTTTTTGGCACAGTCGCCGCTTTTTGGACAGTTTAGTACTGGTATCCTAAGCATTACTTACCCTTGTTTGCCCTAGGCATAATTATAATATGGCTCTGGACAGTTTGTCGGATCAAGGTATCGTCATATTGTGTCACATTCACATTTCATTGTATCACATTACGTGTGATTCGTTCTTCACGTAACCCAATGTGGTTTTAGGTTAAATAACTCAGTATGTTACATAGTACCTGCGTTAATACGAATTTTTAAACTTCATATACGATACAGTACGGTTCACGAGTTATGGCGGCAGTGAAGTTTGCGCAGAAAACTGCGCAATGACGTAGGTATGTTAGCAACCAATACCGCGACGTGCGCGGGACTTCGATATGGTAGGGATTGAGAATCTAATTAAACACAATGTTTTATATTGTTTAATCAATTTATTTGCGAGTATACATGCGCGAAAGTGACTTGCGGCTAACTTCACACCCGCCATAACTCGTGAACCGTACTGTACGCAACATATGACGTCAATTTGTTTTGTTGTGTGACTGAGACAACCGAAGGCTTAATTATGCTAACAAAGGCCGGTAATACACTTGTACGGTAGCTGGGCGATCTGTACTTCTCTGTCAAATTTCTTTATTACATTTTCAACTTTATAACATTGACAGAAATTCGAAAATTCAATGAATGACAGATTGGAGAAGGTTGTTCTGTATCTAATTCCTCTGGTGTTGCGATGTCCATTGGCGGCGCCACTTACGATTCGTCTATTCGTTTGCCTCCCAATCGCATAACGGAGAAACCTTAGAAATAATGTCTAATATATAATAAAATAATAATATCTTTATTTTGCTTTTAGTATGTTTTTATTATATAATTCTCTATAACCTCACTTTAATTGCGCCTAGCGAAATTTACTTATCGGACTACTAGCAGGGCTCTGCTTAAACCATCACATATTAACAAAATATAGGTAATAATGCAAATATGTTGTTGATTTTCTTTTAACATTAATTAGCAATATTAAAAAAATGAGTAAAATTCATTCTGAGAGTTAGCAACCCCAACTGATAAGTAATGCAGTAACTGATAAAAGATAAAATGATAACGTTACAGGGAATATAAATGGACCAGTGACTTAGACCCCCCATAGCAAGGAAAATCTTCATTTTTAGAGTTTATTTTACATTGGTATACACGACCATAGCAACAGGCCTCTGCGTGCGTACAAAATATTATGAAATGCGAGTTCAATGTATAAAGGACGTATTAATTCGTCATTGAATCAATATTTTAATCAAGGTGTGGTAGGTTTTAAATAAATAAATATACATAGTGAATACACATTCTTGTATTTTGTAAGATAAATAAATCCGGATTTGATATTTCAAATGGTTTTCTAGATAATGCAGCCGTTTTTCAAATATTGTGTTGTATGCTTCTTTAACTAATAATGTACTTAAAGATATAAGGAGAATTATTGTTAGGTCGATAGGTATCTATATCTTATCATAGCTTACAAGTTTCAATCTATAAAAAGTTTGATCTTTGATAAAATCGCCATTGTGATATGAATTTGGCGGGAAATTTATATGATCACGCTCCCAGTTCAGAGAAAAGAGCGAAAACAGGCTTCTTTACCCAAGATCAGGATCACCCACCGGCTCACAAGCGAATAAGGAGGTATAATTTAAAATAGATATTAATTTCTTGAATACCAGTATGAAAGACACAATAGAAAATACATTGTCATGGATTCGCGTTAAAAAAATCATTTTATAGTACGGCTATAAAATATTATCAGGAAAAGTTTTGACTTGGCTGTTTATGTAATTTCCCGCGCCTCAGTCTTACATTTCAAGTTTCAACGACGACAATTTGACAGCTAATGTCAGTGACTGAGCGACCGTTCTGAAATATAAGAGTGCAAAAAAAGTGTTTTCAAAAGACTCTAAAAGATAAATATAGTTACACTATATCAAAATGTTATAATAATACTATTTCACGTTTTTATAAATATTTGTTTTATTGCGAAATGCGGTTTCATCAAACACTTACAATAGATTAATTTAACGTAACCACGTTTTTGAACGATTCAAACAAAGTCAACAGTCAGCTGGTGGGTAACGAATGAAAACATTACAAATAGTAGGTACAGTACAATGTCATAAAACATACAAGTGAAAGTCTTTGTCTTCATAAATACAGTAACTTTAATCAGTTAATAATCGGATCAACGCCTTAAAACCATGTACTCAGCTTAATAAGTCTAAATAAAAATAAACAAATAGCCATTAATAACAAAAATATAACCTCAAAACCCGTGAAGTAATAATAGAGAAAATGTTGAAAGTTTTAAGATATGCAGCGACTGCGGTGTTGTTGTTTACAGCCTATTTCGGCGATGTAATAGTGTTTCGGTCGAGATATTCAAACTCCTTGCTATTTCGGGCGATTTGCGACGTTTTAGTGCATGGAAGTTTAGGGTTTTTTTCATCAATAATTTTTTTTAGTATTGATAATAATTATTTCTCACTGGAATATGATGGGACGCTACATATAGTTCTATGCACATTTTTCTCGTCCATTATCGACATCGATCATATTTTCGTGGCTAAATCGATATATTTGAAGGTTTGTATTTCTACCTACATTTTTCTGTTCTTATTTTTTAAACCTTACTGTTGTTATCGTTTCTTTTAATTATTTTTTAATTTATGGCTTCATAACTAATAAAAGAAATCAAAGATAGACTACTGTGCAAGGTGCCATACCTTCCACAGCAGTAGGTTTGATTCTCGCTCATAATTATTTGTGTTGTATTGTACCCACATTTTGTTGTTGCAAGTCTAGCTATGATGTGTATATTCATGGGTTTTTGATTATCCCACAATACAAGGACTTAATCCTAGTGTAGCATGCATACATACATACATAAATTCACACTTGTCTCCCATGGGGGTAGGCAGACTTTTTTTTAAGGGGGGAAATCATCGAATGACTGCTCCCGCCTGGGTGAGGCGCGAGGGAGTGTCAGACTCTTACTGACTAAAAACCACCCCGTTCCTTCTTCTGCACTTCGAGCCGGAGCCCCGGTAACCCATTAGGTTCTCCGCGACAGAGACTAGAATGCCAATTATCACAATTCCTCCATACCTCTTTCAGCGACAGTCTTTTCATGCATTCTCATCGTTTAAGGGTCCTTTAATTTGGCTTTCTTTAATATATCACCAATCTGTGTAGCATAACATAATAAAATTATACGAAACATAAATAATGTAGGTTTTTTGCGTGTTACAGGATATGGTCAACTTGAAACACCGAGGTGTATTCCACTGCACAACATTTTGGCTTGCACTGACTGCGTTACTGCTACTCTACAGTTATATTAAAAAAAGAATAGAAGTGTACATGTTCAGTTTCATGATTGCCCTTGCATACATCACACATCATCTGCGTGATGGAACGAGACGAGGTATATGGCTGTACCCCTTAGGATCAACGCCACCTGTTGATAAAAAGTTGTACTATTTCATACTAGGCACTTTCCCGCATGTCAGTGCCATGTTGTTTAAAAGATATAAACGGTATTTTAATTATCCTATGTTAGAAGACACTTTCACTGTATAATTTATGTGTAGACACAGGAGTTGTAAGTATTAGACGATTTTCAGTAGTCAAAATATGATCTTCTAGTTTATTTGAAGTCTCGACATAGATAACGACAAAAGGCGGTCGCTAAATCGATAACTTCTTTATTGTAGATTTCAACCTTATCTTTTCGGATTTAAGTTGAAAATCTGTTCATAATAATAACAGATGATTCTTTATTCTATACTGACTTAGCGATCAATTTCTGTCGTAATTGCTGTCGAGACTAACAGTCCATTTTTTTATATTTATTGTATAAAAGTTTGATTGAGACTGAAAGTGTATAATTGTATATATATAAAATGTAATATTGAATAAAAATTGTGATTCACAAGGGAGCTTAATGATAAATACTAGAAAATTCCATAAATACTGCATTTTTGGTAATGAAATCTATCAATTTTTTTTGCACATACCTACATGTTTTGCATAGCATAGCTGGCTTTTGAATCAAAGATCTCATATTCTCAAATTAGAAATAGGACTTGCAATGTTTAAATCAAATTTGTCAATATAGAATATATTTATTATAAATAAGTTTAAATAATTAAAAAATAACAAACGCAAGATTTTAAATTGTAAACTTTGATAATGTGTGTTTAATTCAGGGTTGACTCTCTTGACATTCATAACTGTACTCTATTGTAAAGTGTAAAAGAAATTCAAAATACCTAATTCGTTAAAAACTTTAAAAAAAATCGTCATTTAAACACCAACTCATTGGCAAGAGAATCTGGATGTTATGAATGGAAAGACTGTCAGCCCTGTTTTTATTAACAACGTAGATTTACGACGTTATTTGTTACAGATAAATTCTTGTTACATAAAAATCTAACATGTTTATTTTTCATATTTTTATTATTGTGATACGTACTTTAGGCCTTAAAAAGGAGTTGTTAAAGCATTTTTTAAATACCTATTCAATTATTGTAATACATTTTGAGTTAGTCAATGCACAGTGGAAATGACATTTAAATTCCCGCCAATCGCTATTATATTTTATCTGTATGACAAAAAAGGCATCTAAATTTTTTTTAAACTGTTACTTGAAAATTGTGTAAATATCACTTCATTGTTATAGAAAGACCTTACAATATAAAGTAAGAACTTATTTTGAGGAAAAAGTAATAATTTGAGTCTAAATTCAGTATTCGTCAATCATAATTCCTAATTGCATTTTTTGACAAATCTTCCATAGATTATTGTTTTAGTGTTTTTATTGAAATTTGAACTCAAATGATTCTTTTTCGCTTATATCTGTGCATTTATTAAAACGTAGAGACCTTAACAATAACGTAGCAGTTTTTAATTTTGTATCTTTTTATTACTATTTAATAATGATGTAGCTACTGTATATAAACCATGCATATTGTACATAAATAAATCGTTGAACTGATGTAAGAGTTCATTCTTTTTATTAATTTCAAATCTAGTATCTTAGTGACTAAGATACAGATTAAGTTACAGTGACTGAGTCGTATCGATATCGAGTAAAGAATACCTACCAGATTTTTAACTTTATTTTAAATAGTTAAATAAAAGTTCGAAATATACTAATCGATTTATTGATTGAATTATTTGTGATGTAAGCTAAAATTATCGTAGTGAGTGATGCTCTGTAATTTCTGTATACCATTGCATCAGATATATGCATGTGAGGTAAGCTAAAGAAGTATGTAAGGAGCGAAGTAGGTGACGCTCTGTAGTTTCTGTATACCATCAGATGTATGAATGTGATGTAAGCTAAAGAAGTATGTAAGGAGCGTAGTAGGTGGCGCGCTGTAGTTTCTGTATACCATCAGATGTATGAATGTGATGTAAGCTAAAGAAGTATGTAAGGAGCGTAGTAGGTGGCGCTCTGTAGTTTCTGTATACCATCAGATGTATGAATGTGATGCAAGCTAAAGAAGTATGTAAGGAGCGTAGTAGGTGGCGCTCTGTAGTTTCTGTATACCATCAGATGTATGAATGTGATGCAAGCTAAAGAAGTATTTAAGGAGCGTAGTAGGTGGCGCTCTGTAGTTTCTGTATACCATCAGATGTATGAATGTGATGTAAGCTAAAGAAGTATGTAAGGAGCGTAGTAGGTGGCGCTCTGTAGTTTCTGTATACCATCAGATGTATGAATGTGATGTAAGCTAAAGAAGTATGTAAGGAGCGTAGTAGGTGGCGCTCTGTAGTTTCTATATACCATCAGATGTATGAATGGGATGTAAGCTAAAGAAGTATGTAATGTTTACATTAAAAGGTTAGTGAGACATACTAAATTAATTATTATGTTTTCGGCTTACACACGTAACTGTTTGACGAGGAATTCGACTAGTTTCAAGCCATGCCAGGCTCAGATTTATGAGCAGCTTTCTTCATAACGCGCAAAACCAAACGCCACTTTAGCGCTTGTCTACAGAGAGCGTAGAAATCAAAATGTATGGGGATGACACTGCCGACGCGGCGACTGTCGCGCTGCTACTCGAGTTCCTCATTCCTCAAACAGTTACGTGAGTAAGCCAAAAACATAATATTTAAACTCGTACTAAAATAAGACTGCCTCGTTGGCCGAGTGGTCGCAAGTGCGACTGCCGGGCAAGGGGCCTCGGGTTGGATTCCCGGGACGGACAAAGTATTACTGGGTATTTAAAAAAAATCACGGAGTCTGGAAATGTGCCCGGTACATGGCAATAGGCTCACCCCCTATTACATGGGACTCATAACATAAATAGTGAAAAGTGGGTGTTACTTCTGTGTGCACCTCTGCCTACCACTTCGGTGATAAAAGGCGTGATGCTATATAAAATAAGCAGTCAGGTCATCCGTACGCTTGTTTAAAAAAAAAACAATATTTCATATTAATAACTTATTTTATTCTCCGGGCCACACAACACTTTCAATCCAGTCGACATAGCTTGCGATCCTCGTATACACAGCCGGTCGCCCTTTATCAGCACAGTTTCGACCAAATGACGTCACACCGACCACGTGGAATATGCAGGAGTTGTCCGTCGATACTACTTGCAGAGGAGATCCGGAGTCACCCTGGAATATAAAATAAGATATAACGTCATAAGTACTCTTTCAGTCCTTGTAGTTGTTCATATACAATGTAACGCGGGCTTTACTTCAGTTAGGGTAACTGTCCACGTTACGTCATTTGACCAATCAACATCCATCCTTCACAAACGGGATGCCGTCTCCTCCTTTTGCGAAGCAGTTATGCTAGCTAAGGAGGAAGCGGGACGCGTGAGGCAGCAAAGCGCTGTCTCCTCACAACCCAGCCATCGCGAAGGACACACCGGGCGTCTGGGATCGCGGGACGATCTCCGGCCACCGTGCCGACCAGAAACAGACCCGAACGTACGGCGCTTCGCGTTCCGCGCGCGCCTCAAAGAGCCATCAGACCACCACAGATGGGGCCCAACTGGGCCGATGCCGATTCGGAGTCGCTGAGAACCTAATGGGTTACCGGGGCAGGAGAAGGAACGGGGTGGTTTTTAGTCAGTAAGAGTCTGACACTCCCTCCCGCCTCACCCAGGCGAAACAATAGGCCCTTCACAAACAATAGGCGGCCTATAAATGACAAATGGCAAATAACCCATTAACTTTTGGACTATTGTAAGCTTTATTGAAATCGGCCAACGTAGCAAGGGTTGAGGCGTCATGCCCACACAAACGTCCTACAGTCGGTGGCGCTGTGTGTTGGATTGTTCCGTTCCCAATAAAAAGGTTGACCGGACCAATTGCTGACACACACGTCATACTCGTGAACTGCCTTCTGCTGGTTCAGGTCGGTTCTCTCATCTTTGTGGTGGGCTGATTTCGTAGAGCCGTCAAAATAGATATAAATAGTGTGGGAGAGCCATGCTTCGGCATGAATTGGCCGGCTTAACCGGAGTGATACCACGACCTCACAGAAAACCGACGTGAAGCAACGCTTGCGTTGTGTTTCGTCGTGTGAGTGAGGTTACCGGACGCCCAATTACCTTCTCCTTCCCCAATCTCCCCAATCCCTGAATCCCCATCGATCCTCAAACTCCTAATCCCCAAACGGCCGGTAACGCACTTGTAACGCCTCTGGTGTTCCAGGTGTCCATGGGCGACTCGGATTGCTTACCATCAGGTGATCCGTCTGCTCGTTTACCGGCTTATCCCATAAAAAATAGATAATACCTAATTATTACGTAATTTATACTTCTAGGAATACTTAAAGATGTGTGTAACTACCTAGGTAGGTACCTACTTTACTTTAATTTTCATAAATATTGATTAGACGCATTGTAATAAAAAAATGTATGATAAGGGCACGGACCAAAAGTCCATGGAGAATTAATTTGTAACATTATAAAAAAGACTAATGCTTGCATCTTGCAAAAATAATGAAAACTGTCCACGAAGCGGCAACGTTAAATCCGCCTATTGTTATCGTCAATTGAATGCCTTCATCAAATGCTGCAACGCTGACAATAGGCCTTATTAATTATGCATGTTATAAGTCCTGTATGGTTTTTTTTAACGACGGAAAATCATCGAATGACTGCTTCCGCCTGGGTGAGGCGGGCAGATTCTTACTGACGAAAAACCACCCCGTTCCATCTCTTGCACGTCGAGCCGGAGCCCCGGTTACCCGTTAGGTTCTCTGCGACTAACAGATAGTTTAAATCGCAATTAAAAAGTTCACTTATAAAACAGCTGTGCTACCCGGTCTCTGTCAAATGTTCTTTACCGACAGAAAGAACTGCGATGGACACAGATGACAAAATGTATAGTACTCAGCAATCTTTACACAGCTTTATACTAACCTGGCATGTATCTTTCCCGCCGCTAAGTTCCCCAGCACACATCTGAGTCGGCTGGAAACCATCAGGCCAGTTGCGGTTGAAGAAGAACTTCAAAGTCTCATTGCAGAAATCCTCGTCGAGGATTGATAGGGATACCTTCTGTAGCTCTTTTGCACTCTGCTTGGTTCCTGAAAAGAGAAGACAAGAATGTACAATTATGTCGTGGTGGCCCGGAGGTTTAAGACGCCCGCTTCTCATGCATGCTCGGAACCTACCAACGTCAAGTACCAATGTGACATTTTCCGAGTTATATGTACTCTCTAAGATTATTCAGACACCACTGACAAACGGTGAAGGAAAACATCGTGAGGAAACCTGAGCGCATAATTTCTAATTATTAGTTTGTTTGCCAACCCGCATTGAGCAAGCGTGGTGATTAATGTTCAAACCTTCTCCGTGTGAGAAGAGGCCTTGCTCAGTAGTGGGTATTTATAGGCTGTTGATGATGTGTTGTACAATTTGAAACCGAACCCAAAGGGGAGAGGTTTCGGCCAGTTGTTTTATGAATTTTACGTAGAATACTTATAGTAAATCAATCACAATTGGGATGATGACAGGGTAGTGTATAAAATTTAAAAATATAATTAGTCCGTAAGTTAGGTCATTTATAATACATGCATATTGCACCCGTGCGACGCCGGGGCGGGTCGATAGTCCTTACTATAATATTATAAATCTGAAAGTGAGTTTGTTTGTTAGTTTGTTTGTTCCACCTTCACGCCGTAATTACTCAACCGATTGCTTTGAATTTTTGCAGACGTAAAGTTAGAAGTCCGGATTAAATAATAGGGTACTTTTTAACTCGGAAAAATTGATATTCCCGAGGAAAAACAAAAGTATTGGTATAGATGGCGCTGTATGTATTGGTATATGTCACATAGGCTACTTTTTATTATTATTTTTTTTGTGACGCGGGCGAAGCCGCGAAATGCTAGTAAAATATAAAACTTACGCGTATCCACAACTCCCCATCCCGTAGCAATGACCTTCTCATGCCCTCTAAAATCTTGCTGGAACCATAAACACGCTGGCCTGATAGCCGACCTGAACTTCACGTCAGATACCAGTTCCAGTAGCGCTATATCGTTGTAGACCTTCGGAGGACGGTAATCAGGGTGTTTATGGATTCTGCGAATGGCTACCTAGAGAAAGAAGAAGTATATTTTAGGTAAACCGGCGTGAACAACGCTTGTGTTATGTTTCGTCGTGTGAGTGAGGTTACTGGCTGCCCAATTATACCCTCCCCAATCTCCCCAATCCCTAACTTTCCTCAAATTCTTAATCCCCAAAAGGCCAGTAACGCACTTGTAACGCCTCTGGTGTTCCGAGTGTCCATGGACGATGCCAATTGCTTACCATCACGCGATCCGTCTGATGGTCTACCGGTTTATCCCATAAAAAAAGGTTCACAGAATGCTTCTATGTATATGTGGCCGCAATTTTTTTTAATGAGACAAGCCCGCCATACCCAAAATCGCTGCAACTCCTGTAAGCCAGGATCTACAGTAGATACAACCATGAAATAATAATAATAATACCTGTAAAGGACATTAGAATCGGCCTCAGAGCCGAGAGCAAGTTGCAAGAAAGATAATAATAATAATGGGCACCTTGAGGCGAGGTGACGGGTATTAGCGATCCCGCGGGCTACCATCATCCCGAGTGCTCCAGGGAGAGGTCACCGTTCCTTCTTCTCCGGCTCGCCTTAATTGGCTGGCTGGAGTGAATGATGACAAGGAACAGGTCTCCCACCTCTGGCTTGCCTTCATTGGCCGTCCAGAGTGGAGTCGCGAGAGCAGTGATCCTGCTCGGAGGGTAAGAAACTATTCGTAAGTCGCGAGTGGGCCAGGGATGCAGGAGGCTTCGGCTGGAGCAGATGATCTGAGTAGAAAGCGGTGGTAGTTTCTTAACCCTTCAGCCACTCACATTCTCGTTGCCCCTCTGTTGCTATATCTAGCAACCATTTCCGGGGCCCGGTCGGTGAGTTGGCGAGTCTCCGCCTGCCATTTTTACGTGTAAAAATTACATTGTTTCGGCAGGTGCCATAGTCATCCATAGTTCCCAATTTACCAGTCCACAGCAACCCATCCATAGCCCTACCTTTTTTTCCATTATTCACAATAGTCCTACACTAACCGGGGACTGTCCTTGGGTGCATTTCCATAGTGCATACAGGGATAGTCGCCGGTTTGTGTCTCCGTTACATTTAGATTAAAGTTGTCTAAAGGGCCTCTGCGCAGTTGGCTTCGGCCCCTCGTACGCCTCCCAAATGACCGGGACCCTGTGGTCCCGTGAATGGTAAAGACATACATAATATTATATTTGCCCGCGATTAAATTGAATTAAATTGGACAATTCCGCCACAACCTCCCAAAACCGCTGCAACTCTTATAAACCAGGATCTACAGTAGATACAACCATGAAAACAACGGTACATTGAAGGCGTGTCAAATGTTGTCCGCGATTTATGCACTTGTGGAAGCATGGTCTGCCATTAACTGTTTTATGTCATTACTCTGTTGTGTATTATGCTGTTTTTTAATGGGATAAGCCGGTAGACGAGCAGACGGATCACCTGATGGTAAGCAATCGGCGCCGCCCAACGACACCTGGAACACCAGAGGCGTTACAAATGCGTTACCGGCCTTTTGGAATTAAGAATTTGAGGATTGTTGGGGATTCAGGGATTGGGGAAAGGGAAAGGGGGGGGGGGGGGGGTAATTGGGCATCCGGTAACGTCACTCACACGACGAAACACAACACAACGTTGTTTCACGTCGGTCTTCTGTGAGGCCGTGGTATCATTCCGGTCGAGCCGGCCCATTCATGCCGAAGCATGGCTCTCCCACACTTTGTCCTTGTGTTTCTGTTTGATAAAATGAATAGAACAATAAATATTTATCTTACATCAATAGGATTAGCTCCGTCATTGACAGTGTTATCAATATTCTGATCTCCAAGTCTCACGATCACCGGCTCAGCGTTTTGCGCGCTGGGATCTCGGATACAATGTCCAGCTGTGACCACAAACCGCGGACTAATCAGGCTGCCTCCACAACTGAACTTGTAAGGACCTTCGAAAGTCGCCCAGCCTACTGCTGCCTGCAAAAAGAAAAAAGTTAAGGTTAGAACATTATTTTTTCAAACAATGAAAAGTTGAACAAAATACAGTGAAACCTGGTTAAGTGAGTCATCAAGGGACCTGCAATGTCGTTTCGCTTATAGAGGTATTCCACTTACCCAGTGTCTCAGATATACAGGTATAAATAAATATCTGTCTCATTTACAGAGAGTTCCATTAATAGAGGTGGACTTGGGATTACGTGTGTAATTTTGAGTAAACAAACAATGTTATCTCAATTACAGAGGTTTATGCATATAAAATTTACTCGCTGTCTCAGTTATAGAGGTAACTATGATGATAAATCGAAAGAACAAATCCCAGATATAGAGGTTTACCTCGTCCCACAAACAGAGGTAATTCAGTGTCAAAGTGTTGGGACCTCAGCATGAGTTCCAGTTATGGAGGTTCATCACTTATCCAGATCCCACTTAACCAAGTTTCACTGTAGTTATATTTCAGAGGTTTGCCTAGACGCGGTCGCCACTCCCGAATACGTCCCCAATAGTCGTCGGTTCTCCGAGAAACGACTGGCCTACTGCCACATTAATGTATTCATTTTGGGATTTTTCTAGGGGATAGTCCGGGAAACCAGGATACTCAACACCTGGGTAAGCAATCGGCGCCATAAATAGACACCCGCAACACTAGAAGTATTAGTGTGTTGCCAGCCTTTTGGGGGTTAGGGATTTGAGAACTAGTGTTTGGGAATTGGGGAGACTTGAAGACATTTTAATTTTAAGAAGTAGGGTGCTAATTTACTTTTATGGAATAGGTGGCAAACGAGCAGACGGATCACCTGATGGTAAGCGATCAGCGCCGTGGACACCCGCAACAACAGAGGAGTCACAAAAGCTTTGCCGTTGCCGGCTTTTTAAAAAGGAATAGGTACGCTCTTTTCTTGAAGTGCAACACCAGGAGTCATAGTGGCGTGCGTTGCCGGCCTTTTAAAAAGGAATACGCTTTTTCTTGAAGATTCGAATGTCGTATAGGTTCGGAAATACCGCCGACGACAGATCATTTCACAGTTTTGCTGTGCGAGGCAGAAAGCTACGAGGGAAGCGCATGGTTGTGGCCTGCTAATCATCTATTTAAGCAAAAACTACTATAATTTGTACTTACCATATGCGGGAATTCTCCAGGGTTAGCATTCTCACCGCCGACGATAAGTTCAACTCCGGTATAGTCACATTTTGCAGCAGAAACTGTGAAGGGTTCCGGATTGGGAATCAACGGAATATACGGGACCTTCTCTACGACTGCTCTGCTGTACTCCTCACATTCTGAAAATATAAATTATCCATCATTGTCATTACCCCTTTACAGAGGTTCACTGATGAATATATACTTAAGTACGTGTGTCGCCTGGACAGTCACCGCTACCATTAGTTGACTGGACAATCTCTTTATATGAGCTGCTGTTTACAAGTGAATATTAGCTCATGACGATACCTAAGTACGTGTCGCCTGGACAGTCACCGCTACCATCAGTTGACTGGACAATCTCTTTACATGAGCCGCTGTTTACATGTGAACATTAGCACATGACGATACCTAAGTACGTGTGTCGCCTGGACAGTCACCGCTACCATCGGTTGACTGGACAATCTCTTTACATGAGCTGCTGTTTACATGTGGACATTAGACAATATCTTAGTACGTTGGTACTTACTTCTCTCGCTGACTCTTCTTCCATAAGTCTGACCTCCATCAGCATTGCCCCATATAGGCCTTTGACTGTAAAAAATAATTTATAATTAGTTACTGCCTCGCTGATAGAGTAGTTACAAAGATTGCCCAGTAAAGGAATTAGCAAAGAGTATAATAAGTATAGGAGAAGGAATTATGAATGAATGAAATACGTTTATTCGGCATAAGACACACACGCCAGGAAAAAAAATATTTATAAATTATGACAAATAGCAATAAAAAGGTTTAGAAACAGATATAGAAAGAAAAAAAAAGATTATAAGGTAAATTATAGAACTAAAACAAGCTAATAATACAGGTGCAACATTCTGTGCGGTATGCCCAATCTAAACGGGTCACCAACTCAGCATAAAGCTGGGCACAATGAGCACCCAACACTGATTTTCAGTTGGCACCCCTGCAGTGACGCATGGGCGACAGCAACACATAGGTACTTGTAATTTTAATTTAATAATTTAATGTCATATGTTTTGACAGCTGCTGTGATTGAACAAATAAACTTATTACATTTGCGACATCTGGCGAGTTTTTTTTAATGTAATAAGCCGGTAAACGAGCAGACGGATCACCTGATGGTAAGCAATCGGCGTCGCCCATGGACACCTGGAACACCAGAGGCGTTACAAGTGCGTTACCGGCCTTTTGGGGATTAGGAGTTTGAGGATCGATGGGGACTCAGGGATTGGGGAGATTGGGGAAGGGGAGGGTAACTGGGCCTCCGGTAACCTCACTCACACGACGAAACACAACACAAGCGTTGCTGCTCGTCGGTTTTCTGTGAGGCTGTGGTATCACTCCGGTCGAGCCGGCCCATTCGTGCCGAAGCATGGCTCTCCCACACTTATATGAGTTAGCTCCCATTATATGGAATCTATCAAGACTTTTTTGTTCGTTATAGGTTTCTATCTCGCCTGGTGGTAAGCGACGATCCGGTCTACGATGGAGCACGTTGTCCCATAAGCAACCTATTCACTCGGGCCTTGAAGACACCCAGGTTATACCTTTTAGGAACCACAGACTGGCAAATCAGAAACTTACTCTCCATCTCTAGTGGTGGGTGACTGCAGTATATTGCTACCATCACGGCAGCACACTATGGCGGCACCGAACGTAGTGTACGAGCAGAAGGTAGGACGTATACCATTTAACCTGGAACATAAATACAGGAGTTGTTCTTAACCGACTCGTGAGATAATAAAGATATTAGAGGCTTCGTTCATCTATATCTTCTTTATATATATAATTCTGCTGTACGTGTGAATATCATTGAACTCCTCCTAAACGGCTTGACCGATTTAAATGATTTTTTCTGTACGCGTTTGAGTGGTGCCTTGGATGGTTTAGATTCACAAATCAGCCCAGCAGATGGCGCTGCAGTCTATGTCTTTATTTTTTTTAAGGGGGAAAATCATCAAATGTCTGCTCCCGCCTGGGTGAGGCGGGAGGAGTCATTCGTCATGGTGGTTTTTAGTCAGTAAGAGGCTGACACTTGACGAGTGTGAGTTTTTTTCAGACAGTGACTCTTACTGACTAAAAACCACTCCGTTCCTTCTCCTGCACGTCGAGCCGGAGCCCTGGTAACCCGTTAGGTTCTCGCAGTCGGTGTCTAGGTTAGTTATCCTAAACAGCTGAACTAATTTGGCTGAATTTTTTTGTTGTGTTTGTTATTGTCAGTATTTATGGCAGAAAAAATCCTGAAAATCGTACGGGTACGGGAGAAAACGGGATTGCGTGTACGTACGAACGTATGTACGTGACGAGCCGTTACTAAACCGACCGGGCAAGTTTTTAAAGTAATGTCGCAGTCAGAATGCGTAACCAGACAATGTTTGTGTTGACCAATCTTCTATTAAGTTCTTTACAAATAACTAGCTTTTACCCGCGGCTTCGCTCGCGTCACAAAAGGATATACAGTAGCCTATGTGACATATACCAATACATACAGCGCCATCTATACCAATACTTTTGTTTTCCCTCGGGAATATCAAATTTTTCCGGGATAAAAAGTACCCTATTATTTAACACATTAAACGCCATGGGGGTCACCGGCGACCGGCGTTAGCGGAGGATTTACCTCCAACAGTTTTTTATTGCCAGTCAAAGTATTAATCCAGACATCTAACTTTACGTCTGCAAAAATTCAAAGCAATCGGTTTAGCAGTTACGGCGTGAAGGTGGAACAAACAAACAAACTCACTTTCCGATTTATAATATTAGTAAGGATTCATGACCCTTGTAAGAAGTAAGTAATGCTTGTATTGTGTATAATAGTGTTTTTGATTGTAATGGTGTTAACTCGTCGAGTACCGTATTTATAGACACAATTAAAGAACAATAGGTTGCGGTCACCGGTGACCGCTTGGTGTTTGACAGTTTAAGTAGAATAAGGTACATATAAAGTTTAAACCTTACTGAAAGTCGCGCTTAGCTGACTGACACTGGTCTACCACTGTGCACCGGCCGACTGAGTTAGCATACTGGTCGATACATGATTCTCCTTCTGAAATATTAAATAATAAATTAATTTAATACTAATAAAAATAAAACAATAGTAATAATAAAATAATTTATTTTTTCGATGAGGAAAATGTTTTCTTTGATGCATTATGATATATTTTTTTTATTATTTTTTAAGGTGTAAATATTTTAGTTTTAAATTATTTATATTTTAAGATGTATATATTAATTATCTCATTTCATTTATTTATACAGTGTCCAGCAGGTCAAGCTATTTAGTCTGTTCTTCTCCTGGCTCCTATTGATTGCAGTGTGATGTTTCATATAGCCCATAACCTTCCTTTATAAATGGATTATCATGACAAAAGAGGTGAAAAATGTATTTGTTTGAACGCTTTTATCTCAGGAACTACTGGCCCGATTTGGATTATTCTTTTTGTGTCGGATAGTGCATTTATCGAGGAAGGTTATAGGCTACAATCAATAGGCGTAGAATAGAGCAGGTGAAATCGCGCAGGGGTAGTAGTTGGATATCTAAAAGTGGGTGTTACATTTATGCACACCTCTGTTTAACCCTTTGTGTAATAAAACTAATGTTTGACTGCTCCGTTGGCGCGGTGGCTGGGCAATCGGCTGCCGCGCAAAAAGCAGCAGATTCGATTCCCGCACTTTGTGTGATCCACAAATTATTGTTTCGGGTCTGGGTGTAATGTGTATGTGAACTTGTATGTTTGGTAACGCACACACGACACAGGAGAAAATCCTAGTGTGGGACAAGGTTTTTTAAAAAAACGTTATTGTTATAGACTGCCTCGTTGGCCGAGTGGTCGCAAGTGCGATTACCGGGCAAGGGGTCTCGGGTTCGATTCCCGGGTAGGGCAAAGTATTAGTGGGTTTTAAAAAAATCTTAGTAGTAGCACGGTGTCTGGAATTGTGCCCGGTATATGGCAATAGGCTCACCCTCTATTACATGGGACTCATAACATATGTAGTGAAAAGTGGTACTTTTGCGTGCACTACTCCTTCGGGAATAAAAGGCATGATGTTATGTTATGTTATTGTTATTGTTATAAATTCACTTACCTCTTTGTCCTCTAGCGGTTGCTGCAATGGTGAATAACAGGAAAAATATTGGTTTCATCTTATTTAGATATGTCTTTGGTTCAAAGTAGGTGGTGCAGCATAGTATTTACTTAGGATCTGTAAAATAAATAAAACCGCTTTATATTTTGAGTCAACATTCTTCAAAGTATCCAACAACATTGAACATTGACCGAAGAATGTAGATTAAAAACGAAAACGGGTCAAAATGGCGAGTCGTGTGATATTCATAATACGGTAGATGCCTTGTTTTTATAATAACTATCGTAAGACTACTAAATTAACTAAACATCGCGGGTTACTACTAGTATCGAATTACAGAGGGGTTCTTCCTCATGAGCAGCGTGCGCGGTCGCAGCGACGACGTCCTCTGTGGTTCGAAATTCGAAACTAGTAGAGCTTTTCTCAGTATATTCACGTGAGTAACCTGCGATTTTTAGTTAATTGGGTAGATGCCTAATTTTATGTCTGCCTGGTAGATTATTTTAAATCATTATAGACATATTTTTTATTTTTTTAAAGAAACGAATAATTTCGACGATATATTGGTTTGAAATATCGCGTGACGTCACTTCTACGTACGTTATATACGTAGAAATGACGTTTTAGCCCCCACTCCTAAACTTTGATTAGTTTTATAGAAGTATCATTTTATTATACGACAAAATAAAAAAATACGTCTCTAACATTTTTTTATGGCATTAGCCGGTAAACGAGCAGGCCGATCACCTGATGGTAAGCAATCGTCGTCGCCCATGGACACCCGGAACACCAGAGGCGTTACAAGTGCGTTACCGGCCTTTTTGGGAATAGGAGTTTGAGGATCGTTGGGGATTAGGGGTTTGGGGAGATTGGGGAAGGGGAGGGTAATTGGGCCTCCGGTAACCTCACTCACACGACAAAACACAACGCCAGCGTTGCTTCACGTCGGTCTCTAACTGACAGACTAATTAGATTTTTAATTTTCATACCCTGTCATCATCCCTATTCAAGCCATATTATATACGAAAACGCTTAGCTCTTAGTCTCTGACGGGTTAAGACTCAATTCACACTGCTGCAGTATGGAATGAAAGCGGCCTGCCACGAAACTGTACATAGTAAGTATAATGAAGTTTATTATACATATAAGGCCTTATATATATAAGGCCCACGGGGACAAGCGAAATCTTTCGTTTTTTTCTTTTTAAAAAAAAACGTTGCCCCACACTAGGATTTTCTCCTGAGTCGTGGGTGCGTTTACAAACATACAAATTCACATACACATGACACCCAGACCCGAAACAACATTTTGTGTGATCCACAAATTGTTGTTTTGGGTCTGGGTTTGTTTCGTGCGGGAATCGAACCCGCGACACGTTGCACGGCAGCCGGTTGCCCAACCACCGCACCAACCGTGCAGTCGAAATCTAAGGCGGCCCTGCTTACCATCCGTAAGGGTAAGTGTGAACAATACAGACTACAGGCATTAATGACACAATTTGTGTCTAACTCTATATTAGTACCTTAAGAAAAATAACAATTTTGGACTCAGAGAGCTCGTTTTAGCGTTCACAATTCAATGTCGAGGCAAAAGCTAGTAAAATATTGTATACTAAATACTAGCAGCCCGTCCCGGCTTCGCACGGAGTAGACCATTATTTATTTTTGAAAATTTGGATTGTTGTAGTGACATAACTACAATAGTTGGACATATGCTACCGCGGAGTTTTTTGTAGACATTATGATGTTCTTCAATATTGTTGTACATTATTTTGTTCTATCGTTAATAGTTTTATTTTAAGACTCATTTTTCTACACCTTCGGTTACATTGTTCAAATTTTGACAAGGATCCCAAATGTTTTTCAAAATGAAATGTAGCCTATGTGAAATTGGAAGAATGTAGCATTCTATTGGTGAAAGATTTTTTTAAATCGGCCCAGTACTTTTTGAACCTATTCATTACAAACATACAAAAATAAGTACAAATCATTCCTCTTTATGATATAAGTATAGACAAGGAAGTTAGCAACAAACAATTAATTATAAGAAACGTTAAAAAACCCGTTTTGAAAAGGAAACTAACTGGTTATAATCCATAAGACATTTCAAAATACTATCGGATTTCTACATGACGTGACGAGGTTAGGCTTGATATTCTAGGAAAGGGTAAACAGAGGTCGTTAGGTATGCATTATTGCGATTGGGCTTAGCTTAATTTAAGCTGGGCGTGCAATAAGGTAGATGCCTAATTTTTATTTTAAACTGCCAAACACCGCGAGGACACCGGTGACCACAACCTATCGTTCTTTAATTGTGTCTATATTGACGGTACTCATGTCCGTCTGGTAGATTATTTTTAATCATTAGACACGTATTTTTTATTTTCTTACAAAAACTAATATTTTTGAGGACTTGATTTGAAATGTCGCGTGACGTCACTTCTATGAACATTTTATACGTAGAAATGACGTTTTAGCCCCCACTCCTAAACTTTGATTCGTTTTATCTAAGCAGTGTTTTATTATACGACAAAATAAAAAAAAATACGCGTCTGATATTTTTTCATTACCTAACTTACGGACTAATTAGATTTTTAATTTTCATATTTTTTTGATTTACTAATCAAAAATAAATTATTTCGACTGTTTAATACAATTGTAGATTAAAAACAATCACACTTTCATTAATTGATGTTAATATTTTTTCAGCAAAATTTAAGAAATAAGTAGGTACTCTGTTTAACGCTAATAAACATGACGTCACAATTCACAATGTCGTACAAAATTCATAGAAAACTGTCGTTTTTGACAGTTCGAAAAAATCGTATTGAATTTGACTAGTTGGCAAGTACTGTATTCCATACTCTTAAGTCATCACGTCGTGGTGGCCCGGCTTCTCATGCATTAGAGTTAGAAACCTACCAACGGCAAGTACCAATGTGACTTTTTCCGAGTTATATGTACTTTCTAAGCTTATTTACTGCCAATTTCTATAACATATCTCAATCCAAAATCTGTGGATTAACATCGATTTTTGACAGAAACTCCGTACAACTACTGCCAAAAATCGATGTATATCGACAGATTTTGGATTGAGATAGTTTATTAAAGTTGGCAGTTAGACACCACTGACAAACGGTGAAGGAAAACATCGTGAGGAAACCTGGACTTGAAAATGAAATTTGGAACATGGGTAGACTATAGTCTAAAAAAACACATAGGCCACTTTTTATTACACGGGGAGGCGGGCGCAGTCGCTGGCAGATGCTAGTATGGAATAAATAAGTCATCATCATCATCATCAACAGCCTATAAATGCCCACTGCTGAGCAAAGCCTCTTCTCACACGGAGAAGGTTAGAGCATTAATCACCACGCTTGCTCAATGCGGGTTGGCGATTTCAAACTTATAATTAGAAATTATAAGTCCAGGTTTCCTCACGATGTTTTTCCTTCACCGTTTGTCAGTGGTGTCTAAATAATCTTAGAAAGTACATATAACTCGGAAAAAGTCACATTGGTATTTGCCGTTGGTAGGTTTCGAACCCGCACCCTCATGCATGAGAAGTGGGCGTCTTAAACCTCCGGGCCACCACGACATACAATAATAAGTAAGTGAAAATGTTCAACTACAATAAAGTATCGACTATATTACTTCACTACATAGTATAAAACAAAGTCGCTATCCGCCGTCTGTCTGTCCCTATGTATGCTTAGATCTTTAAAACTACGCTATGGATTTTGATGCGATTTTTTCAATAGATAGAGTTATTCTTTAGGAAGGTTTATATGTATAATACATGCATATTGCACCCGTACGAAGCCGGGGCGGGTGGCTAGTCCTTACTAATATTAAAATCGGAAAGTGAGTTTGTTTGTTTGTTCCGACTTCACGCCGTAACTACTAAACCGATTCCATTGAATTTTTGCAGATGTAAAGTTAGTAGTCTGGATTAAATAATAGGGTACTTTTTATCCCGAAAAAAATTGATATTTCCGAGGGAAAACAAAAGTATTGGTATAGATGGCGCTGTATGTATTGGTATATGTCACATAGGTAGGCTACTTTTTATCCTTTTGTGACGCGAGCGAAGCCTTAAACTTGAACTTTATTTATTACTAGCTTTTACCCGCAAAAGCTAGTAATAAATAAAGTTCAAGTTTTTGAAATTGTGAGCTGTGATACAACCAATGACTGCTCCCGCCTGGGTGAGGCGGAAGGGAGTGTCAGACTCTTACTGACTAAAAACCACCCCGTTCCTATACTCCTGTACTTCGAGCCGGAGCCCCGGTAACCCGTTAAGTCCTCCGCGGCGAGCTGCAAAACCTAACTGACTGAACGAACCGCATTCCTTTAAAAAAGTACATTTTGAACTTAATACGAGTTCAAGTTTAAGAACAAGTTTATACAACATCTTAATACCTAGGTACTATTTACCTGATATTTAAAAATAGTGGGACGTTGGACGTAGTTAAAGTTCTTTCTGATTAATTGTGTGAGTAATCAAAGTGTGGGAGAGCCATGCTTCGGCACGAATGGGCCGGCTCGACCGGAGTGATACCACGGCCTTACAGAAAACCGACGTGAAGCAACGCTTGCGTTTTGTTTCGTCGTGTGAGTGAGGTTACCGGAGGCCCAATTACCCCCTCCCTAGTCCCCGTCTCCCGAATCCTCGAATCCTCCACATCCAATATCCATCCATCAAAAATCTTTATCTTTAAAAAGAAATAAATATATCTTTATCCTCAAATTCCCAAAAGGCCGATAACGCACTTGTAACGCCTTGGTGTTTCGAGTGTCAGCCGTCTGTTAGTTTACCGGCTTATGCTATAAAAAAAAATTGTACCACGACGGTGGCAAATAAAGCGCAACGCCCACCTGATGGTAAGCGGTTACCGTGGCCTATGTACGCCTGCAACACTTGGGGCATTACATTCGTCTTGCTGACCCTTGAAGAACCTATTTAGGTACTACTGGCTGTGCCCACGACTTCGTCCGCGTGGAATAGTGATTCGCAGCTCCTCCCCCGTAGGTGGTAGCGTGATAATATGTAACCTAT